CCCTCCTCGGCCTCCCAAAGTGCTGGGATTACAAGCATGAGCCATCATGAGTGGCCAAGTAATTCTTTTTTACGTTAACCTTGCAATTTCAAGATACTGCAAGGAAAACAATTTGTGTGTGTTGTTAATGAATCAGTAACTATATTAGGATGAACCACATGTAATTGCCAATACCCCACTGTTTCTGGTCTACAAAACAGCAAATTCATATAATTCAGTCAAATAATAATAGCTAACATTCATTTACTGTGTGCTAGGCCCCATGCTAGACATTTTGGAAGCTGATGTCATTTAATCCACACACAACGCTCGGTTTTGTGAGGATCGTGGGATAAGGACAGATAAGGACTCCGAGGCTCAGGGGGGTTGTCTGAGGTTACACAGGTGAGCAGCTGAGCTTGGGTGGAACAGGGAGGGCTCACCCTTGGCTCAGGCTGCCCCGGGTGGCTGGGCCCCCCTCAGCCAGCCCACCCCACCGCTGCTGCCCCCCAGGCACAGGCCCAGAGAAGAATCCAGCCTCTGTGCCCAGCGGCGCCCGCCAGCCCAAGGCCCAGGGCTGTTTGTTTTCTTAACGGGGTTAACCAAACCTCCTGAGCCTCTGCCGAGCAGCAGAAGCCCCGCTGGTGAAAGGGGGCTTTGTGTGACGGCAGCAGAGGGCGAGGGCCCTAGCCAAGGCAGGAGCTGGGAGCCAGCCAGCTGCGCAGGAGCAGGGGCGTGGTGGGGTAACATCTTCCCCCCAGCCCTTGCTGCCCTCCTCCGCCATGACCTTGGTCCTGTCTCCAAGCGGGGAGCTGTGGGCTCCACACTTGCACAGGGCGGCGAGTGTGGCCCAGTCCCTGGCAGGGCTGCCGTGCGAGTCAAGACACAGATGCTCACAACAGGGTCCCCAACCAGGAGCGCCAGCGTCACCAGGGAACTTGTTTAAAATGCCGCCACCAGGCCCCACCCAGGCCAAGCCCTCAGAAAAATCTGGAGTCAAGGCACCATAATCTGAGATTTAACAGGCCTTATAGATGATGATGATGGCGGCTAAAAATTGAGAACAAGTTTAATCTAATACGGAAATACTCTGGCCAAGAAAATGTGATCAAGAAGTCCTTTTAGGGCTGGGCGCGGTGGCTCACGCCTGTAATCCCAGCACTCTGGGAGGCCGAGGCGGGCGGATTGCTCAAGGTCAGGAGTTCGAAACCAGCCTGAGCGAGACCCCTCTCTACTAAAAATAGAAAGAAATTAATTGACCAACTAAAAGTATATATACAAAAAAAAAAAAAAAATTAGCCGGGCACGGTGGTGCATGCCTGTAGTCCCAGCTACTTGGGAGGCTGAGGCAGAAGGATCGCTTGAGCCCAGGAGTTTGAGGTTGCTGTGAGCTAGGCTGACGCCACGGCACTCACTCTAGCCTGGGCAACAAAGTGAGACTCTGTCTCAAAAAAAAAAAAAAAAAAAAGTCCTTTTAGGCAACTTTCACTCAGCAACTTGAAAATTAAATGTATAAGCTAGATAGTGATGGAGAAAAGACAAAAGAAATGGTAAAACAACTCATTTTAAAAACAGAAGTCACCTTGAGGTTACACACCCACCCTATAGGGGCTGGAACTTAACAGCGTTCTTGTGCTGAGCTGGCCAGTGCTTAAAGTACGTAGAAAATAAGCTCTTCCTTTTACTGTAGCAACTCCTTTGGAGTGTACGTCATGTTATATGTTCCTTTTTATAGGAAAATAGTCACCATACCTTGTTTTATCTTCCCAAAGACATCTTAAATGCTTCCAGGCCAAGGATCTTATTCTTCTTCACTTGGATCTACGCTCTTGCACCGTGGAACGCGGCGGAATTAGGAGCAGAGACTCTCCTTCCACAACTGGGCCTTCCATAACTCTGGTGATGAAAATCCACTGATTTGAGGCTTCCCCGGGCACACCTGAAAATTAAGTAAATGGATACAATGAACGAGTGCATGCACGCAAGAGGTGGGGGAGAGAGGCATGTCCAACTCTGCAAGTGGGAAGGGGATTCTTGTTAGCTCCCTGCAGGCAGGCCTTCTAACCCTCCTGCAGCCGCTGCGCCCACCCTTCCTGGTTTTTTTTTTTTTTTTTTTTTTTGAGACAGAGTCTCACTTGTTGTCCAGGCTAGAGTGAGTGCCGTGGTGTCAGCCTAGCTCACAGCAACCTCAAACTCCTGGGCTCAAGCAATCCTCCTGCCTCAGCCTCCCGAGTAGCTGGGACTACAGGCATGTGCCACCATGCCCGGCTAATTTTTTCTATATATATTAGTTGGCCAATTAATTTCTTTCTATTTATAGTAGAGACGAGGTCTCGCTCTTGCTCAGGCTGGTTTCGAACTCCTGACCTTGAGCAATCCGCCCGTCTCGGCCTCCCAGAGAGCTAGGATTACAGGCGTGAGCCACCGCGCCCGACCCTTCCCTGGTTTTTTCTCACTATCCCCCCGCCACTGCCCATTCATTCATACAGTCTTTCCCAGCAAATGTTTTTTGAGTGTGTACTAAATGCTTGGCGCCATGGAGACACACAATAAACAAACACAATAATTGCAGATTGCAGCAAGCGCACAGACAGGGTGATATGGTAGGGGGGTCAGGAAGGAAGCCTCTTTGATGTGAATTTTAGGCTAAGAATTAGAGGATGAGCCTACCAGGTGAAGGGTGATAAAGAAGAGTGTTCCAGGTAGAGCAAACGTCAAGTGCAAAGGCCCTGAGGCAGGAAAGAACTTGTCTGGTTTGAAGAGCTGAAAGAAGGTCACCACGGATGGAGCCCAGTGCACGATGGAGAGAGGAGTGGGAATAAGGTGGAAGAGGAGGCTGGGCTGGGTTATTTAGAGCTTTGTAGACCGCGGCAGGGTGAGTGGGTTTTATTCTAAGTGCAATGGGAAGCCATGGAAAGGTTTTAGCGGATGCCTTGATAATAGTTTGTGCTGCAAGGTAGAGAATAAACCTTATGTTGGGGATGGAGGCAAGGAAAAACAGAGACAGAGAGACAGTTTTCAGGATGGGTGACCAAGAAGTCTGAGGATCCCAAGATAGGCCTGGGCCCCTCTGGACAGCAGGAGTCGGAGAGGCGCTGTAGGCCAAGGAGAGCTGTCTCTGAATGATGGGGCCCTGGCGTGCCAGGGAGGAAATGAAACCATCCACTTCTCCTCAATGTGCACCGTTTCCCTTCCAGGGGTCCACACCAGGATCTGGGAAGTTTCAACTTCTTGATTCTGGGGCCCTTGTGCGGTGGGATTTAGAAGAAGAAGGTGTGGGACATAGTATTGGTGAGAACTACTTGGCCCATTTTGGGGTCATCCTCCAGCCCTTCTGTAGAGGGAGGGCTGGGAACGGAGAGTGTCTGCTCCAGTTCAGAGGCACCTCTGTACCAGCAGGGGGGAGGGCGTGAGACCCCCCAACCCCAGCCCCTAAGACTGGCACTCTGCTTCCTCCTTCCCACCCCATGCCCTCCCACTAGGTGTGAGCTCCTGAAAAGTAGGGCCTCCCCCTCTGCACCTCACAGGACCTTTGTAGGGGGACATTGTGGAGAAGAGGACTCTTGCCACGGTGCTGCGAATGGCAAGCGCCCCTACAGCTGAGGGTGGGGGTTGAGAAGTGAGAGCAGAGGCCCTTCCCAACACATGGGGTGAGAGAGTTCTGGACTCAATTCTTGCCACGTACCCAGGAAGCCCCTGCCCAGAGGGGTGGACAAGAGCAAGCTGGTGCCACCACCCACAGTCCCTCTTCCCTACTCACTGCCCTGTCCCCCCCATCCTTTCCACCCAGGACAAGCCCACAATCAAGCTGCCATTTACACCTCTGCTAAGGACTGAACATGAATCATCTCAATCTTTGCACACTCTTCTGAAGGAGGTATATTATCCCTATTTTGCAGATCAGCAAAGGTCTACACCAATGGTCCCCAACCTTTTTGGCACCAGGGACCGGTTTCATGGAAGACAATTTTTTCCACGGGTGGGGGGTGGGATGGGGAGATGGTTTGGGGATGATTCAAGCGCATTCCATTCATTGTGCAGTCGAGCCTCTCTGCTAATGATAATCTGTATTTGCAGCCGCTCCCCGGAGCTAGCATCACCGCCTCAGGTCCACCTCAGACGCTCAGGCATTAAATTATCATAAGAAGCCTGCAATCTAGACCCCCGGCACGCGCATGCACTTTACAGCCGGGTTTGCGCTCTATGAGACTCTAACGCCACCGCTGATCTGACGGGAGGCGAGCTCAGGCAGTGATGCAAGCCATGGGAGGGGCTGTAAATACAGATGAAGCTTCGCCTGCCTGCCCCTCAGCTCCTGCTGTGTGGCCCAGTTCCTAACGGGCGGGGGTGGGGGGACAGCAGGTCTACACAGTTCCTGAAATCCAGGCTGTCTGACCCCCAGATTGGAACCTTGGTCTTTAAACTGCCTCTTCCTGGCCAACAGCCTGGAGCAGGTTAGGGCTGAAAGATATGAGTGGAGGGCGCACGGACAGATTCTAAAACTGAACGAATGGAGGGGCCTGTGGATGCTGGGGGAGGGGGACACTGACGCCGGGTTGGAGCCAAGCCTGACTCAGATGCGGCCTCGGCTGGGGTCTCCAGGCCGCGCCCCAGGGACCAGGCTGAAAGGCGGGAAAGGGATGGGGGCGGCCTGGCCCCGGAAGGGTCGGGATCGCAGGGAACGCCGCTGGTCGGTCCCCAGGGCCGGCGCGGAGGCCGGAGCCCCGCCTGCGACCGGCCGGCGCTCCACAGAGACTGGGGAAGTTTTGGCTCGCCCGCGTCCTGGGCGCTCCCCAGCTGCCTGGCGAACGGCTGGCTCCCCGCCGAGCGCCCCCTGCCCCGCGCTGCGGCCCCACCGGCCCAGGGGCGCGCCGGGCCGGCCACCGGGGTCCCCGCCTAATCTCCCCGGCTCAGGGCTCGGCGCGAGGGAACGCCCGGGGCGGGGTCGGCGGGGCGGGGCCTCGGACGCGGGGGCGGGGCCTCGGGCGCGGGGCGGGGCCGGCGCGCGGGGTCCCAGTCCGCGCCGCAGAGCTCGGGCTCGGAGCGCCTTGCCAGCAGGGGCCGGTGCGGGGCGCGGATGCTGGAAGTTCACATCCCGTCGGTGGGGCCCGAGGCCGAGGGGCCCAGGCAGAGCCCAGAGAAAGGCCACATGGTGAGCGGACAAGTGGCTGGGGAGGGCGCGGGACCTGCCGGCTTTCCCCGCGCGGAGCGTGGTGGGGACCCCGCACCGCGGCTGGGGCATCTGAGCGCGGCGGGCCTGACCGTCGGGGGACAGCTTGTCGAGGGTTTCGGGGCCTTGATTTGCCGGCCCCGCGGACCGTAGTTCGCGCTCTTGAGGGACCACTCGGAGCAGGTGGGCGAGTCCGCCAGCCCTTTCTCCAGGTGTGCGGGAGCGCGGGAGTGTCCCCGGGGAGGGCGGCATTGCAAGGCGGCTTTGTGCCTTTGAGCACAGGAGGGGGGTGCTTCGCCGGGCGCAGGTTCAGCCGCGTCCTCCCCGGGCCTCACGCGCACCCCGCGCCCGCCAGGTGTTCCGAGTGGAGGTGCTGTGCAGCGGGCGCAGACACACCGTGCCACGGCGCTACAGCGAGTTCCACGCGCTGCACAAGCGGGTGAGGCGGCGCCGACGACCCACCAACTCCGGCACAGCCCCTGCCCAGCCCCAGGGGGCGGGAGGCATGGCGAGCCCCGGCCCCAGCCCCGGCCGCCCCGTTACCGCCCCGGGCCCAGGAGGGCACGGGTCCCGGGCAGACTCCGGGCGGGCTGTGAGTTCCTTCGCAGGGAGCGCGCGGGAGGGCAGGGCCCGGCTGGCACCGGCCGTAGCCTTGCGCTGCCGGCCAGCGCCTGGGCGTCCGGGGGTGGTTGGGGCTTCGCTCGCCGCTGTCCCGGCCACCACCCACCAGGGTCTGTTCCAGCATAGAGCCCGAAGGGGAGGGCTGGGGAGGGCTCGTGGCGGTGGTGACGAGGGCTTGGGAGCTGAGCCGGGATGTCGCGATCGCACCGCGGTAACCTCCAGCAGATCAAGAAACTGTACAAAGTGCCCGACTTCCCCTCGAAACGCCTGCCCAACTGGAGGACCAGAGGGTTGGAGCAGCGCCGACAGGGCTTGGAGGCCTATATCCAGGTGCGCCCGGGACGCACTCGGTTGCCCCCAGCCTGTTGTACCAGGGGTGTGACCCAGACAGAGTTGGGGGGATACGAAGGGCCCCCAAACATGGGATGTTATTCACTACCCCAAGCATCGATTTTCTGAATAGTAATGGGTCCAAACATCCCTCTCTGGGCTGTTGAAAGGATCGAGTGAGGTATCAGGGGGGAGAGCAGTCCCAGCCCAATGAAAGCTAGTTCTGTTCCCCTCCAGGGCGACATCCTGTGCTGCCCTCATGATGGGATGTAGGGGTGTCCTCCCCCAACCGCAAAGATGGGCCACTGCATAGGGTACAACCGGGCTCCGTGCTCAGAAGGGCCCTGAACTTGGTTTAACTCTCTGGGTCTTAAAATTATTTTGGAACAAAGGGTTCCGCATTTCACTGCTCTGGGCTGTGCATATTGGTAGCTGGATGTGATGATAGGTTTCCTGTCTCCTCTCCAGGGCATCCTGTACCTGAACCAGGATGTGCCCAAGGAGTTACTGGAATTCCTGAGACTTCGGCACTTCCCTGCAGACCCCAAGGCTGGCAGCTGGGGGTAAGGGGGCCAGTGCTGGGGGGACAGGGGCTCTCAGCAGCAAGCAGGTGAGGAAGCGTTTTGGAGGCAAAGCCCTTTTCCAGCTCACATCTGCTAGGTCCTAGTTCTCCCTCCTTCTGAGACATGACTTTCCTCATCAGCTTTCTTGACCCAGGTAGAAGGGCTTTTTTTTTTTTTTTTTTTTTTTGGACAGCCTTGGTTACCCCAGCCCCCTCCGGAACTGAGCTTATTAGAAATAGAAGCAGTGGTCCCCTGAGAGGTGACGTTCTTGCCTTCTGTGTCTCCACCCCTTCCTCACGCTCTCCCGGCATCCCCAGGCAGCTTACAGTGTCTCTCTTCTTTTCAGCACCCTGGGGGAGTTCCTGCCTAGCGACAGCAGGCAAGTCAAAGCCCTGCCTGTGCCCGGCTCCTGCTGCCCCCTAGTGGCCGCGTGCTGGGAGGCGGGCCTGCTGTCCGTCCCTGCGGTCTGTATTCCCGTTGGCGCCTCCTGAGCCCACCTCCCATTCACCTTTTCCACTGTGGGTCCCTGATGATCTCAATTCCTAATCTTTCTCATGGCTGTCTTTCCTCCCAGCTCGCAGCTGCACCACCGGCCTGTCGTGAGCTTCTGCGTGGACCCCTACATTTGCACCCCTTCCACAGGTGAGGAGGTACCTCTGACCTGTAGTCCACATTTAGGACCCAGGCACCGAGGTAGTGGGGGTGAACATGCCACTTGTTAGCTCCCAGGGCCCCCAGGCAGCATGTCCATCCTGCCATTCTCCTTTGAGGCCACCAGGTGCTGCTCCTGTGCCCTGCTTTGGGGACACTACTGAAGTAAGCTTTGCTCCGCTGGTCTCCATTCCTGGGCAGCCTGGCTTTCCAAAGCAGATATGAACAGAATGTGACCTGGGAGTGCCAAGAGGTCATTTGGGGTGGACAGCTATTATCTGCTGCCTTGGCAGCAGGGGCTCCTACTCCCAAGGGGGTGCTGAGCCCATGGGCAGGAGCTCGGGAAGCTGCAGGCCTGAGGTCAGACCGCTCCCCACCTTCCCTTCCCCTGCAGCCCTCAACTTCCTCCCATTTACTTCTGTGCCACAGAACTTCTGCCCAACGTGGTGGTGAATGGCGTGCTCCAGGGCCTCTACGGCTTCAGCATCGGCCCAGATGAAGACCAGCCAAAGGCTGCCAGTCTCCCTGCTCCTGTGCCAATGCCCTGACCAGCTCAGAGGCCTTTGGGCCACCTGCCAAGGCAGTCATGTGCCTCAGTCCTACGGGCTCCATATAAGGCTAGGTCCTACTGTGGCCTGGAGCCAGAACTTAACTACCCAAGGCCCAGTTGTGCTCTATCCCTACTCAAGGCCTAGAACTCAGCTTGCACTGGTAGCAAGGGATGGTGGAATTTGTGTTCTTAGAGGCCAAGGGCCAAGGCAAGGCCAAGAAGTCAAGTCACTTTAGAGGTAGAATATGAAAAGGTACAGGTATATTTCTTAACCCAGAGAAGAAGGTGGCAGCAGGAGAGTGAAAGCTCAGGCACAGTAGCTGGCCCAGTTTAGAAGCAAGGAGCAAAAAAGGTCCTGCCTTTTTGTGGGTAACACCTGGGGCCAAAGTTTCAGCTAGAGCCCAAGGAAGGTGCAGGCATGTTGGGATGCAGACTTGGCGGGGAGGGTGCTGCAGGCTCTGAAGAACCAGCCCACACGAAGTTTATAAAAAACCCACATCTCTTTTTATTGGTCAGTGTTGGTAGGAGTTTGTTAAAAACTGGACCCGTGGGCTTGTGGAATGTGAGGGGAGTGGGTCCGCGCCGTCAGATGCCAGCTCTAGGGCTAGGGCCGCACAGAGCCCCGTGGCAGACTATCTTCACCCCCACGGAGGCAACAGGGCCTGCACAGACAGTTGCTCAAATGGACGGGTCCCTGGTGCCCTACTCCTTGGCAATGGCAAAGGGCTTCTCCACCTCGATCTTGCCACAGTCTGCAATGATCACGTCCTTCAGGGGCTTGTCACGACTGTCTGTCTTGGTGCTCTCCACCTTCCGCACCACATCCTGGGAAGGCAAGGGAGAAGCAGGGGGCACAGTGGGTTAGGAGGTCCCTGTGTCTGGCTCAGGAGGGCTGAGCCCCCCATGTCATCACCGGCACCGAAACTCTAACGGACTCACGGCCAGGGCAGGGCGAAAGCAGATCTCACAAGGGGATGCAGAAATTATGTTCCTTTGAAGTAAGACCCAGGTTGGGCCAAGGGCGAGAAGAGGCTGGCTGGGGAGTGTGGTACCAAGTGGCTGCTTAGGGACATCGTGTTCAGTTGTACAACTCAGGGAGGGAAGCCAGCACATAACGGAGGGAATGATGGAACGGAGATTCCTGCCCTCGTGCAGCCTCAAGGCCTCCTGGCTGCACTTGCCAGGGCATGGAAGGATTTAGAAGCTTGTGGGCACAGGGATGCAGGCCATTTATTCTAGAATTCCCCCAGGTTAGGAGACATGAGCACTGGTCTAAATCTGTGGGTTGGGTTCTTTTGGGAAAGGGACAAACTACATGGAGCCCCAGCCCCACAAGGTCTGTGTTAGATCCCGGTGAGGACTGCCCAGGTTCGCCCCCACCTCCAGAACTCACCATGCCCTCTAGAACTTTGCCAAACACCACATGCTTGCCGTCTAGCCAGGCCGTCTTGACCGTGGTGATGAAGAACTGGGAGCCGTTGGTGTCTTTGCCTGCGTTGGCCATGCTCACCCAGCCAGGCCCGTAGTGCTTCAGCTTGAAGTTCTCGTCGGGGAAGCGTTCGCCGTAGATGCTCTTTCCTGGGAAGACAGAGTAGGTCAGGGGAGCTGGGTTGGCCCAAATCACACAGATGTTTGGGGTGCAGACTGAGGGGCTCAATCGGTGCTCTGTGCCAGGCTAGGGTTGGGTGGCGTTCAAGGACATAATAAAAGCTGTCTCCTTCGTGTCCTCTGGCCTTAGAGCCAAGCCAGACTGACTGACACCATGGGGCATAAGGCCTGATTGACTGAGTGAATAGCTCACATGACATGAGCTAGTGAATAGCTCTCACTTTGAGAGTCCAGTTTTATGGCTTTAAAGTACATATTATCAGTTACCCTCGGCTGTGGCCTGAGGCCTGCCACAGAGGGACTGTGGTAGAGAGAGGTGCTATGCAGGAGAACCAGGGAGGTCGGAACCTTCCAGAAAAGAACTGCTGTGGCTGCCCAGCTCGTCTTCCTAACAGCACAAAAGACATGGTCACAGCTGCAGAGCAGAAAGCAGCCAGCCAGACCGGGTGGGGAGGGTCAGGGAGGGGATGCCACTGGGCTCTGGAGAGTCAAAGCCTCTTACCAAGCAATGAATATAAAGTAAAAGGCAGCCATGAATGCGTGTAACGTTTCTGTCCACGTGGGGCTTGCGGACACAGCAAAGGGAGCTGAAAGCGGATTTCTATGTGGTTGCAGAGGTCCTAGTTCCAAAGCTGACTCCAGGAGAAACACTGAAACTCTTCTTTTTCCTTGTTACCTCTTAGAGACTGATGCTGTGCATTAGGCCCAGAGAAACCCAGCAATAAAGAGGCCATTTTCATTTTGTTTTACCCAACACCTTTCAAACTTATTTGCATGCAAAACCCCCTTTTCCTTCTCAATGCACCTGCCTTCATCCTGTGGCTTGGGAAACTGTCCCAGACCGATGCTAGCCAGGGAGATGGCTTTGACTGTGTAGCAGGTGGGAAGACTGAAAACCAAGAACCGGCTGGTGGTGACAGAGGTGTCTGAAGCCTGTGTACCCTGGGCAGGGAGACTAGTCTCTGCCACCATTGTGCAGTGACTCCCGGCTGGGGTGCTGGCTAAACGCCTCCCCAACCGGAGCATCATCCTCTTTGTAAATCTCAACCAACTGCAGAATTTCAATTATTGCTGCTCTCCAGAAAACGCCCCAGTCTATATCCTTAGCTCCAATCACTTTCCCAAGATACAAGGAGTTCCAAATGGACAGTTCAATTTAAACTCAACATACTTGGTCACCTTTCTCTTCAGACTTCAGTTATTTATTTTCTATTACTATACTTGTAGCAAGCATGACTGTCGAACTCCACTCACTGGGCCAGAGACCCCTGTGGTGCTAGCGAAAGACCTGCCCTCGCACAGTGCACCACTACACCCATGAGCTCACTGGCCAGCCAGCAGTTATTCTTTTGACAACTGTCCCTCTGCACATTGCTCACAGTTGTCCCCTCCCACCCACCACTTAATTTCCTTTCTCTCCATTCCTGCTATCCCCCTGCAGTAATGCTAATGCTTACAGCGTTCACAGTATGTGCCAGAGACTGTTGCAAGCATTTTTTCAAAACTACCCACCCTACAAGGTAATAACTAATAACCCTGTTTCAAAGGTAAAAAAATTAAGGTGCAGAGAACTTAAAGGCACCCCACTAAGAAGTGGCACAGCTACAATCCAAACCAACGTGGTCTGGCTCTTGAATCTCTGCTCTCACCCACTTGGCTATACGCTCCTGGGGTTCAGGCCCAAACCATCCTACCCGGGGACGGCTGCGCCAACCCCTCAGCAGTCCACTTACTCTTGCTGCCACACCCTGAATCCTGCCACCACATTACCTTCCCTGAAACCCCTTTGGGACTGGGTCCTCACACTACTCCAGTCTCCAGCGGATCCTCACTATAGCAGCAGTCCCCAACCTTTTTGGCACTAGGAACCAGTTTCATGGAAGACAATTTTTCCACGGACGGAGAGGGTGTCATGGGTGGGGGCAGGGTGGAGCAGAGCTCAGGTGACAATCCTCAGCCCATTTCCTAACAGGCTACAGATTGGTACTGGTCCAAAGCCTGGGCGTTGGGGACTACAGTCCCATAGGACAAAAGCCCAGGTTCCTGGCTGCAAGTCCACCTCTCTAGATCCCAAAGGTGTGCTCTTCTTTCTGCCCCCCACCCACCTTTGGCCAAGCTCCTGCCTCGCAACAGAGTTGGGCTCATGCCCTCGCCCTGCCTCCTCTCTGCCCATTCATATTCTCTCCATCCGGGGCCGCCCAAATCCTTCCTCATGTTCACATTTCCTTTGTACCTGGACCCAAAGTGATGCCTGTCCCTGCTCATCAGCACTTCGACACTGGTTGAGTTTGCTGAGCACTCACCACGTGCCAGGCGCTTAACACTCAAGATCTCCCCTGATCCTCAGCTCTCACCACTCTCACCACTCCTATTTTGCAGGAGAAGACACTGAAGCTCCAAGGTTGCACTTGCCTGAGGTCACAAAGCAAGAAGGTGGCAGACACTGGATCAAGCCCATCTGTGTCTGACCCCACTATAGTTCTTTGTATCACGTCTGCTTTGCGCCTTCTAGTCCACTGTTGCCTTGTTCCGCAGCTTTCAGTTTTTTTGCCTAGTTCTTCCCACCTAGATGATAAACAACTTGAGGATAGAGCCTCAATCCTAAAAGCTATATTGTGGCCCACTTGTAGCTTTTTAGGTATTAAGTGAAAGGGAGCTGCCATCCCACTGATCTTTTTTTTTGAGACAGAGTCTCACTCTGTTGCCTGGGCTAGAGTGCTGTGGCGTCAGCCTAGCTCACAGCAGCCTCACACTCCTGGGCTCAAGCGATCCTCCTGCCTCAGCCTCCTGAGTAGCTGGGACTACAGGCATGCGCCACCATGCCTGCTAATATTTTTTCTATTTTTAGTTGTTTGGCTAATTTCTTTCTATTTTTAGTTGAGATGGGGTCTCGCTCTTGCTCAGGCTGGTCACGAACTCCTGAGCTCAAGCAATACTCCTGCCTTGGCCTCCTAGATGTCCCACTGATCTTTATGTCCTCAACATGCAGCACAGTGCCTGGCCCGGAAACACTCCTTGATGGAGTGAGCTGTCCTCCAATCTTAGCAGTGTCTGAGGCAACAGAAGGCTGTGCACCGAGTTCAGTGAGAACCAAGGGTTCCAGGGCATTGGTCTTTCCGTCCTATGTGTACGAGTCAGTGCAGAGGTGAGAGTTAGCCCTTGCAGAGTGGTCTCTGGGGGGAGAATGCCAAGGCAAGCAACTTCTCCCACTCTTACTGGGGCTTCCAACATGGTCCACATGGGCTTTGCACGCCTGAGCTCTAATTGCCTACCTACGTGTCTTCACTTTGCTTCCACACATCCCCTCACCCCAAATAGGTATGGGGAGACCGATTACCATGCTGTAGGCCTGGATCGCAGGTTTGCCACCTGGGAGAGAGCTTCTAGGTCTACCATAAGGTCCACCCATGACTCCCTCCCCTTTGTACTGGGTTCCCTCTACAAAGGGTGTCGTTGGTTTCAAGGCAAGCAGGTAACAGGTAACCCAACAGAGGCTGCCTCACCCCTCTCCCACCTTGGAGGCCACACTGACATACGCCTCTGCCCAGAGGACCCAAGGTTACCTCCTGTGCCATCTCCCCTGGTGAAGTCTCCGCCCTGGATCATGAAGTCCTTGATTACACGATGGAATTTGCTGTTTTTGTAGCCAAATCCTTTCTGGAAAAGGGAAGGGAAGGTAAGGAGGTGGCATGAGGCAGCAGGTAGACATCCAATAGGTCCAACAGAAACCCAGCCCACAACTGCTCACAGAGAAGACACCACTGCTGGCCAGATTCATCACTCAATGTGCTGCTGAGTGAGCAGTTACCGCAGGCAAGGCACGGGGCTCACAGATCCGGGAATTTCTCTGCCTTTATAAAGTCCTACCTCACATCATGCCTTCCCCTCATTTCCTCCAGTCCTAAGAACAGATAGATGCAAGAAAACTGATGGAGGAAAAAAAGCCATCTGCAGGCCCAATGGAAAGTTAAAATACAAACTTGTTTAAAGGGGGCACTGTTGTTTTCTTGAAACTTGGTGCCACCACCTGGGGTAAAGTCTCTCTGGGAAGCTCTGGGCTCCTTACTCTTTAGATAGGACAATGCTGGGGTCCCAGGACAACAGTCAGGTGGTACCCAGTGAGGGCTACCACTACAGACCGGCTGCACTCTGCAGTTCAGTTTGCTGCTGTCCCTCCCAACTTCACTTCATTTGAGTTGACAACCTCTGCTCTGGCCACTTACCTCTCCTGTAGCTAAGGCCACGAAATTATCCACTGTTTTTGGAACAGTCTTTCCAAAGAGACCGAAGACCACTCTGCCCACATCTTCATCTCCAATTCGTAGGTCAAAGTACACCTGAGGAAAAAGACCATTTCAAACTTAGCTTCCTTTTTAGAGTCTTGCTAGGTTAAGCAGGGCACAAAAGTCTACCGTGAGGACGGGAGAGAGAACAGAGCCATATTTTTAGAAAAGTGGTTCTGAACCTGATTTTGGTGTAGGCAAAACCCCTGTGAGATTCTAATGAAAGCTCCAGACCCTATTCCTGGGAAACGTTTGTTTATACTCTCCTTAAACTACAGGATAATAATCTATGCTCAGAAAGAAAAAAAAAAGCCCCAATTCCAGAAATTAACATAAAGGAAACCCATAAGGAGGGGAGCCCAAGCACACCACGCAAACTTAAACTATATTTACTGTGCTTTATAACTAGAAGTGCCTAAAAATTGGCTTAAGGGGAGAAAAAGATTCCTAATTTGGCAGGGGTGATCTTTCACCATCTCCCCAGTACTGCGGGGCGTTTGCAAAAAGCCTGCTCTGAGGTGCCAGTGCGGGCCCCGCTGGCATGCCGAGCACCCGGTGACTCCCTGGGTCAGTGGAGGGGCTGTCGGAAAGGGTCCGGGCCACGCTCCGGTCAGAAAGGGTGGGACGGCCCAGGCGCCACGAGGCCGCAGCCGGGAGCAGCAGAGGGGCCGAATCAGAGCCAGAGCCGCCCAAGCTGGGGCTCCGAGACCCTAAATGTCTGGGACCAGCTGGCCGCGGCGCCGAGGCCGGACCCAGGCGGCGGAGGGCGGGCCGCGCCAGGCAGGGCGGGAAGGGAGGGCCCAGACCTTGACGGTGACTTTGGGCCCCTTCTTCTTCTCGTCGGCCGCGGAGGGTCCCGGCAGCAGCAGGAAGAAGACCGAGCCCACGATGAGGGCGGCGGCGAGGAGCACCTTCATGTTCCGCTCCGACAGGCGCAGCATCCACCAGCAGAGCGAACGCCGCCCGGGCAGCCGAGGGCCGAGAAGGGTGGGGCCGCCGCGGCGTGGGCGCCGGCGCCGCCACGAGCCGGGCGGGGGGGCGCTGGGGCTCCTCCCGGCCTCCCGGCGGCGGCGGGCGCCGTTTCCCCCCTCCCGCTCGGCGCCGGGTGGTAGGTCCCGCCGCGGGGCGGGGCCCGGGCTCGGCAGGGCGGGCGGATTGGCGGGCTCGTGGGTGGCTGCCACGTTACTGCTGCCTCATTGGATTGCCCGCTCGCCCGCCCCACCCACAGGAAGGCAGTCGGCGGAAGTCGGCGCCGGGGAGACGGAGCGAGGCGTCTCTGGACAGACTACCAGCCCCAGCAGGCCTGGCGGCCTGGCCTGCGCCCGCTCCGCCTTCCCGGGAGCACTCCTCTCTGGGCCTTTGGTGGCAGACGCCAGATGTTAGGAAATCCGTGGGCCTGGATGGGGCAGAGGACACTTGCCACTGTTTGTATTAGTCCAGTCAAGCGTTGGTCACCACCTAATTGGGTTTAAGTATGGTAGCTCCCAAAACTCAGAGCACATTGATCCTTACCCAGAGTATGACCTTGTACAGCTCCTTCTTGTCTTGCAAAACTTGAAAACACGTTTCCTTTGGTATTTAGCCCCTGTCACTTTACTACCTGTTTCTCTTTCCCTTCTCTAATCTTGCTGTGCTTACTGCTGTATGAGTCAATGTGCACTTTATTGTATACAGTGGCTAACTTCCTTTCTTTACCTATTTGTTTCCCCAAGTGATTACGTTTTTTGAGAGCAAGGGTTTGTGTTCCACTTAATCTGTATACAGCTCCCTCAACACAGCTGCAGGACTAAGTGCTCAGCAAGTAAGTTGGGATAGCTTCACATTAGCACTAAGGTGGGAAACATACCACACGTGAAGCTTACAGTCTTCCTTTTCCAGAGACTTTTAGGAAGGTCAGGGATAGTTATTAGATACCCCTATACTGCTAATTTAGGTCTTAACACACACTTGATATTATTCCAGGCTACAACACATATGCTTTGGTACTAGGAGTTTTATACGCCCAGAAAAATAAAAATGACACACTCATCCTTCTAACACTTGGACCTATGGTGTTATTAAAATGTCTTTAAAACTAATTTTGAAAAATTAAGGCCAGGCATCGTGGCTTAATGGCTACTGGTATTAACTAACTCGTTCTTCCTTTTTTTTTAAATTTTTTTATTTTAGCGTACTATGGGGTTACAAGTGTTAAGGTTACATATATTGCCCATGCCCCCCTCCCCCCTCGAGTAAGAGCTTCAAGTGTGTCCGCCCCCAAACGTTGCACATCTTACCCGTTGTAGTTGTATATATCCATCCCTTTCTCCCCGCTCCCAGCCTCCCGACACCTGATAAATATTACTCCTATATGTCCACTTAGGTGTTGATCCGTTAATACCAATTTGCTGGTGAGTACGTGTGGTGCTGGTTTTTCCATTCTTGAGATACTTCACTTAGTAGAATGGGTTCCAGCTCTATCCAGGAATATACAAGAGGTGCTATATCACCATTGTTTCTTAAAGCTGAGTAGTACTCCATGGTATATATATACCACATTTTATTAATCCACTCATGAATTGATGGGCACTTGGGTTGTTTCCGCAGCTTTGGAATTGTGAATTGTGCTGTTATAAACATTTGAGTGCATGTGTCTTTTTCCTAAAGTGACTTTTGATCTTTTGGGTAGATGCACAGTAGACAGTAGTGGAATTGCTGGATCAAAGGGTAGATCTACTTGTATCGCTTTGAGGTATCTCCATATTGCTTTCCACAGAGGTTGAACTAGTTTGCAGTCCCACCAGCAGTGTAGGACTGTTCCTCTCCGCATCCACGCCAGCATTTGTTGTTTGGGGACTTTTTGATAAAGGCCATTCTCACTGGAGTTAAGTGATATCTCATTGTGGTTTTGATTTGCATTTCCCTGATGATTAGAGATGTTGAACACTTTTTTCATGTTTGTTGGGCATTATTCTGTCTTCTTTTGAGAAGTTTCTGTTCATGTCCTTTGCTCATTTTTTGATAGGGTTGTTTGATTTTTTTCTTGTTGATTTTCCTGAGTTCTAAATAGATTCTAGTTATCAGCCCTTTATCAGATGTGTAGCTTGCAAAAATTTTCTCCCATTCTGTGGGTTGTCTGTTTGTTCTCTTGACAGTTTCTTTGGTTGTGCAGAAGCTTTTTAATTTGATCAGGTCCCATTTATTTTTGTTGCTGTTGTGATTGCCTTTGGGGTCTTCTTCATAAATTCTTTGCCTAGGCCAATGTCTAGAAGAGTATCTTCAACATTTTCCTTTAGAATTCTAATAGTTTCACACCTAAGGTTCAAGTCTGTTACCCAGTGAGTTGAATTTGTGAGAGGTGAAAGGTGTGGGTCTTGTTTCAGTCTTCTACATGTGGCTATCCAGTTTTCCCAGCACCATTTATTGAATAAGGATTCTTTTCCCCAGTGTATGTTTTTGTCTGCTTTGTTGAAGATTAGTTGGCTATATGAGGATGGTTTTATATCTGGGTTCTCTGTTCTGCTCCACTGGTTAATGTCCCTGTTCTTGTGGCAGTAAAAAGCTGTTTTAATGACTATAGCCTTGTAGTAGAGTAGCCTTGTAGTACTGTAGCCTTGTAGTATATAGTCTGGTAAATTGATATCTCCTATTTTGTTTTTATTGCCTAGGATTGATTTTGCTATACAGGGTCTTCACTGGTTCCATACGAAGCATAAAATTATTTTTTCTGTATCTGTGAAAAATGATGATGGTATTTTGATAGGGATTGTGTTGACTCTGTAGGTCACTTTGGGTAGTATAGACATTTTAACAATGTTGATTCTGCTGACCCATGAGCATGATATATTCTTCCATCTGTTTACATCCTCTGCTATTTCCTTCTTCAGTGTTTCATAGTTCTCGCTGTAGAGGTCTTTTACCTCCTTAGTTTTTTGGGTTTTTTTTTGAGACTGAGTCTCACTTTGTTGCCCAGGCTAGAGTGAGTGCCGTGGCATCAGCCTAGCTCACAGCAACCTCAAACTCCTGGGCTCAAGCAATCCACCTGCCTCAGCCTCCCGAGTAGCTGGGACTACAAGCATGTGCCACCATGCCTGGCTAACTTCTTCTATATATATATTAGTTGGCCAATTAATTTCTTTCTATTTATAGTAGAGACAGGGGTATCACTCTTGCTCAGGCTGGTTTTGAACTCCTGACCTCAAGCAATCTGCCCACCTTGGCCTCCCAGAGTGCTAGAATTACAGGCGTGAGCTACCATGCCTGGCCTTTACCTCCTTAGTTAAATATATTCCAAGGTACTTTATTTTCTTTGTTGTTATTTTGAAGGGAATTGAGTCTTTGATTTGGTTCTCACTTTTATTATTGTTGGAGTATATGAATGCCTCTGGTTTCTGTGTATTGATTTTGTATCCTGAGACTTTACCAAATTCATTTATCAGATCAAGGAGTCTCTTGGTTGAATCCTTGGGATTTTCTAGGTATAATATCATGTCATCAGCAAAGAGTGAGAGTTTGATTTCTTCTGCTCCCATTTGGACGCCCTTAATTCCGCTCTCTTGTCTGATTGCTTGTAGCGAAGACTTCCAGCACTATGTTGAACAGAAGTGGAGATAGTGGGCAACCTTGTCTTGTTCCAGTTCTAAGTGGGAATGCTTTCAATTTTTTGAGCATTCTTATCATAAAAGGGTGTTGAATTTTGTCAAATGCTTTCTCTGCGTCTATTGAGAGCATCGCATGGTCTTTGTTTTTGCTTCTTTTTATATGGTGAATTACATTTATAGATTTGCGTATGTTGAACCATCCTTGCATCCCTAGGATGAAGCCCACTTGGTTGTGATGAATTATTTTCTTGACAAGCACCTGGATTCGATTGGCTAGGATTTTGTTGAGAATTTTTGCATCTATATTCATAAGAGATATTGGTCTATAGTTTTCTTTTTTTGTTGCATTCTTTCCTGGTTTTGGTATCAGGGTTTTGTTCGCTTCATAAAATGTGTTGGGCAGGATTCCATCCTTCTCAATGTTGTGGAATAATTTCTGCAGGATAGGCATCAGTTCTTCTTTGTAGGTGTGGTAAAATCCAGAACTTTTTTTTTAGGAAGGTTTTTTATTGCTGTTTCAATTTCAGTATTTTAACTCATTCTTCCTTACACTGAAATCACTGCAGTAATCATGCCTATAATCCTAGCACATTGGGAAGCTCAGGCAGGAGGATCACTTAAAGCCAGGAGTTTTAGACCAGCAACATAGTGAGACCCTGTCTCCACAAAAAATAAATAATATAAAAAATTATCTGGGTATGGTGGCATGCCTATAATTCCAGCTACTTGGGAGGCTGAGGCAAGAGGATCACTTGAGTGCATGAATTTGAAGTTGCAGTGAGCTATGATGAGAATGCTACACTCCAGCCTAGACAGAGTAAGACTCATCTCTCTCCTTCTTTTTTTGAAACAGAATCTCACTTTTTGCCAGGGCTAGAGTGCCATGGCATCAGCCTAGCTCACAGCAACCTCAAACTCCTGGGCTCAAGGGATCCTCCTGCCTCAGCCTCCCAAGTAGCTGGGACTACAGGCATGCGCCACAATGCTCGGCTAATTTTTTCTATATATTTTTAGTTGGCCAATTAATTTCTTTCTATTTATAGTAGAGACAGGGTCTCGCTCTTGCTCAGGCTGGTTTCGAACTCCTGACCTTGAGCAATCCGCCCACCCCAGCCTTCCAGAGTGCTAGGATTACAAGTATGAGCCACTGTGCCCAGCAGAACTCCTTACCTTGAGCAATCCGCCTGCCTCGGCCTCCCAGAGTGTTAGGATTACAGTCGTGAGCCACCATACCCGGCCAAGACTCATCTCTTAAATAATTAATAAACACATTTTGTAGAAATTCCAGATTGTTACAGGCCAGATTGTAAGCATGGCTTCATTTCCATAGGTGAACTATGCAATTTGGTCTCTACGTGAGGTGCTGATCTGAGTTGGAGGTTATGCATAGCTACCGGCATCAACTAACTTGTCCTTCCTTACACTAAACTTCACTGCAGTCAGGCAATAGAGCTACAAGACAGTTCTCTTCTATAAACACAAATGACATTTGCTATTTCCTACCTTTGCACCACAATCAAGACAACCCCAAACAGGTGGAAGTTCTTCTAGGTAAAAGTGACACTGACAAAGATGAGTGTCCAAATCCACCCTCCCACCCCCACTTTTTTTATTGGTCTGTCAAGTCTCCCCACTCCCTAGTCTCACGCTGCCCATAGCCACAGCTAAGAAAAATGTTTACCAAGCCATATTTTCAAAATAACCTCCTGCATATGAGAAGCTAGGGCTAAAATGGCATAAGAGTAACCTTTACCCATCCCCACTTTCAAAAGAAAATAAGGTTGATGGATAAAATGCTTTTTGTGGAACTTTTCTGTCATGATCTTAAACATTGTTTTCTGCTTCTACTTGCCTACGAGTGAAAAAAAATAAATCATTTAATTAGTAACAAAAAAACTGGAACCAGCCAATCATGCCTAGATTGGCAGTGTTTTGTTGTTCATATATGCACTTGAGATTTTACATTGCTCATCATAGTTATATCCCATTTCTCATTAGTAGAGCAGAGTCACAAAGCAGTGAATTAAAATAAAATCTAAGCCCCCCAGCTGAGTGAATGGACCTCCTCTTGGCCAAAGCGACCCCAGAAATACCCTAAAGCTGAGTTGCTGGCCATGAGAAGGGAGGTCAGACATGTTTTGTCATGACCCTCCGCCCCCCTTCTTAGAGATATCCATAACTCATTGACAGGCATAAGGCTGTACAAGACAAAGCTTAAATCACATCTGCAGGTCAATTTACTTAACAGATCACTTGAATCTGGGTATATGTCTTGGCTCTGATCAACAGACTTCCTTATCTTAAAACATTCTATGCCTTGGATGGGCAAGATGCCTCAAGCCTGTAATCCTAGCACTCTGGGAGGCCAAGGCAGGAGGATTGCTTGAGGTCAGGAGTTCAAGACCAGCCTAAGCAAGAGCAAGACCCCATCTTTACCAAAAATAGAAAAAATTAGCCAGGCGTGGTGGCACTCCCCTGTAGTCCCAGCTACTTGGGAGGCTGAGGCAGCAGGCTCATTTGAGCCCAGGAGTTGGAGGTTGCAGTGAGCTATGATGCCATTGTACTCTAGCCTGGGTGACACAGTGAGACTGTGTCTCAAAAAAGAAAGGGAGGGAAGGAAGGGAGGAAGGGAGGAAGGGAGGGAGGGAGGGAGGGAGGAAGAAAGCAAGCAAGCTTCATTTCTTTAACCAATTATAAATCAAAGAATCTTCAAACCCACCTATAAACCTGTTATGCCCTGCCTTTACAGGCCAAACCAATGTACCAAACCTTCCATGTTTTGATTTATGACTTCACTTATAATTCCTGCCTCTCTGAAATGTATTAAAAAACCTAACTGTAACCCAACCAGGCAAGACCACTTGCTCAAGGCTTCTTGGGTGTGACTCTCCAGGCCATAGTAGCACATATTCAGCTCAGAATAAACTTCTTTATTTTATATAGTTTGTGTTCTTTTCTGCTCACAAAGCTACAAAAGTTGTTCCAGAAAGCAGATCCTCACTTCCTGGTGTTCTACCTACCACCTGAGAACCACAGGGATACAGGAACTAACATGTGAGTGAGTATGTCCAAATTCTTCCAGAAATACTTATTTTTGAAGTGACTCACAGGAGAGGGCAATGTTCAACCCAGAGGAATGAAGCAATAATGCCAAAGTGTTAGGCATTTATTTTTCTTCACCAGAGCCTTGAATCACATCAAAGTTAGTCTAGCTAGACTGGTAATTACAAATGAGCCAAAGGAGATTAAAAAGACAAACCAATCAACCAAACAAGTAAAAGTAGCCAAGAAAGGTAAGATTTTATTTTACATACAAAAAGGGTGCAAACTGAGTCCTTTCCTCCCCAAATTGGAGAAGAGGTATACTTAAAGATCACATTTATGTTTTCCATGATGCCCTAGGAAATGGGCTACTTTGAGATAACATATCAGAACCCATTTTCCAATTTCTCCAAAGAAGGCTACTTCCTCTGCAGAGAAGTTTCTCCTAATGGCATACAAATATCTCCTCCCGAGGAACAATTTTAAATACACTTGAAATTGACATTCATGTTTAAAAATACTACAAGTTTCATTTTCACAGCTGAGCTTTGCGACCAGTGCCAGGGTTTATGAAACATTACATATCTAAAAAACAAAACAAAACAAAAGTAAAAAAAGAGGCATTTAACAATAATCAGACACATCCACACATCAATTAAAACTGATTTCCACAGCTGATTTATACATTATCTAGTTTTTAAAAAATTGCAATCAACATCCCAACATCTTTTTAAGAGTATAATGGGCAAGGATGAAAGAAACAGACAAATAATAATATAATAAATTAGAGCATGTAATATATCCAATGGGAATTGCTGAATCAACATTATTTTCCATGGGAGGGGACTATAGTATTTTTGGTTTCATCTTTATCTTTTCTGATGTTATTCTTCTCTCTGCTTAATAAATGGGGCTCATTCCCAGAGCCAGCTTGCTGAGACACTAATTGGAGAAGCTCACTTGTCACTTGTTTACCTCTGAGAATACTCAGGAACACATGGTTCCCAGCAGCCTGGACTGTGAGTCTTTATGAAAGTGAAATGTACATAGATGAGCACATACATAGGCACACACATGCAATCACACACCCCTATCTGTAAATATATTTCTCCCCAAAGAAATGGCTCATCTTTCCTGAGACATTCCTAGCAGATTGATAAGCCTTCTAAAAAGGGGTTCAGTGCAAGGGCTGGCCTGGGATTTGGTCTGGAGCTCATGAAGAGGAACACTGAAAATAATGACTCACCTGCCCTTAAAGAGCGGTTGTAGGGTGTGTGTGGGGCAGTCAGGACAGCTGTCCTCTTGTGCACTGCACCATCATTTATTACCATGGATAATCCTCTGCTCTGAAACCTTAAAGGTGGTGATGGCACTAGAAAAGTGATTGTGAGTAGTAAAAGAAGAAAAATAACAAAACAAATTCTGTCTACAGATCTGAGGTTTCTTTATAACATCCAGTTTGATAATCAAACTAGAAACATAAGGAGTACATATTCACTTTTTCCTTTGTAAGCTGATTTACAAATACTGGAGTGGTTTCCTGGTTGCTTTTTGAGAAAATGTCACCTACCATTGTCTATACCCAGGGAACCTACTTACTATTTTGAATACAATGAGAAATCTATTCTTTTGCACTTAGTCACCTGCAAAAGGAGTAAGGAAAAACATATTTTTAAGACTGCTTACTAGATCAAAGACTTCCAAGATTCCTTATTTGTGGCCCAAACACTGCTCAACACTTTACAAACCCACAGAAGGGTCATGGTTGCCTCTTGTTTTTATTCAGAAACAAAATCACCCCCCACTACCACCAAACTCAAACCTGAAGGAATCCCACTTTGATTTCTATCAGCCTATCATGGGGAAGACTGGGAGTCACTGGCCATCAACCTCTAGATGGAACTTCCCTGGACTCTGCAAAAGCAAGAACCTCAGAGATAAGTGCCTGTCACCAACGTGGCCAATCCAGATGGGGTGCCTAGTTATCCTGGCTCCCTCAGGGTTCCTGGAATTCATATGCTTACCATGGGGCAACAGTAGGGATGGTGGCAGTGGCCTGGCAAAGGTAATGTTGGCTGTATGGTGCTGGAAGCTCCCAATCCGTGAAATTCTAGCCCTAATGTGGTTCTGACACTGGAGACAATGTTGTCATGGCAACTCAATGGGAATGGAAAACTGGTTTAAATATGAAAATGGAAGAGATGGCTGCAACACCGGAGGCATGTGGGCTTGGGAAGAGATGCATCATAGGAAAGATCAAGTTCCTTTGAGGAGATGATTTCTAGGCTGCCATGGAAGTTCTTATTTTTGAGAAATGCAGGCCATGCTTGCTCACTGTGAGAAGGAATGGATTTTATCTTTTACATTTAAGAAAAACAGTTAAAGCTATTACCTTTAGTAACCACTGTGACACATTACTATTATTACATATTTCTGGCATTAAAGGTGGTTACTAACACTGAAAATCAACAGTGAATATGCACTACCAGCGTAAACCTCCACTGAACTAAGTTTGAGGTTACTTTAGAGGTGATGGACACCTCTTCTGGCTAATGGGAAGGGGCTATTCCTATGTACTTGGAGTTCTCTGAGAATAAAATAGGCAATCAACACTTCTACTAGAAACCTCAGGATCCCTGCTGTCTCCAGTAGCTCATACATTCCAAAATAAAATGGACTTTAACTGGAGGCTAACCCAGTCACTCAACAGGTACCTTCTTAGACCCTGTTTACTCCTAGAGAGACCCAATATAGAAAAATGTTAATTAAGGCAGTCATGAATACATATTGGCTGCTGGGATGCTCTATGCACCCTTGCGTAGTAGTCTGGAGTAAGATCTCTGAGAAGTGCCAAGGTCTGTAGAACAACTTGATCAACCTTCATATGCTTAGACTGCACAGACACAAGTCATGTTCTGGTTATGGGTGGGGGGGACCCTTTATGTCTTAGTGGAATCTCGGTCTGCTTGCTTCAATCTGCTCAGAATTCAATGCCTGAGGGTTCGGGAGAACTCCTAATGGTATAATAAAGGTTTTTTTTTTTTTTTTTTTTTAAATGAACAGATGCTGAGTTAGCTTTAAGAAGAAATAACTGCATCAATCCCAAAGAAAAAGATTCTCAGACATCATAGCTATGAAATGGAGAAAGCTCAAAAACTACAGAGCAAGTGGACTGGGGCAGGGGGGTAGGTGATAGAGGGAGTGCCTAACACCCCACAGATCTGGCTGAGGCATACAGCTAAGTAACTATAGCAATAGGGCAGAGGAGGGAGCCCTGATAGGCTGATGCGACTGAAACTGATAGCCAAATCACTTCTGGGGTACTCAATTTTTAGGGTTTTTTTTTTTTTAATTTTAAGAAAGATCACAATAGAATCTCCCAAGTCCAGAACCACCTTGGAGTGTAAATGGCCCTGGAAGGCTCACCTTCCAGGTGAGCCTGCATGCTAAAGGGACCTGGGGCTCTTCATCTTCGTTATGAAAACCAAATATCTAGTGAGAGATTTGTGGGGGCTGGAGGGTGAGAGTAGTATATTAGGAACGATCCTCCCCCACAACTGCTCAGGTTCAACCCCTCAAGAACTAGCCTTTAAAAAGTTTTAAGACAAAAAAAAAAAAATCACAAATACAGATGCAAGGTGGTTTGCTCTGCAGCCCAGCTGGTCACTATCTTTGCTTTTTTGTGGAAGCAAGGTGGGGGAATAGGGGGAGGCACTTAGTAGGGTATAGAGTGCCAGGATGCTCCAGGCTTTGCCACCATTTCCCCCTGCCCTCTCTCGAAAGGCAAGGCATTTTCTATATAGGGATGAGGAATTTAAAGTTTCTATACAGGGAGTTAGAGTTGGCCAAATGCCAATTAAGGAACTATGAAAATTTCAGTGATGGGGCTTCAACCACCAGGTAATGGCAAGGACACAAACCCCCAATATTCAAAGACCTTATAAGGGGTGGGGTGTGACAATGCATCTCCCTGCTACTCAAATTTTCATACTGTACAAAAACATTTCTTTCAAAGAAATGACAGATTACAATCTTTACATAAGCTAAACAGGTTCGAATCCAGTGAAGTGATATTCCCTAGCCAAGGTCCAAAGGGATAGGTGAAGCCCAGTCAACTCTGATCCATGCTAATGCTGCTACTTCTGCTCTGAGTAAGGTACGTCAAGGGACATGTCAGGAAATGTCCACTACCAGAAAATATCTCCACATCCCCCAGTGCAAAAGAGAGCCTTATACCTCAAGCCAAAAGTGAAGATTTCTGTGCTTCACAAACCACCAGACTAAGTGACCAGCCATGATCCTCCACGGTTAGTTCTCTACTCCCAGATATGTGAACACCCCTTTCCCTGATATAAATAATCCTTTTCTGTCATATTTAGAATTAGGAGTCACTGTTTGGATAAGCCACTAAACTCAAATGAAAACTGAGCATCAGAAGAGGTAATTCCACATACTATTGGCTTTTCAAACAGTGAATGAAGAGCCAAGACTCTTCTTGGCAGTACCTTATATGAATCCACCACGGCAGGAGGAGGAAGGCCTATGAGGGAGGACATGGTTAGATGCATGGCCATCTTATTTGGAAGGGATCCATGTCCAACTGAGAAAATAATTTCAGACCTTTCATTTCAGTCTCCCTTCTCCTGGAATTTTCCAGCACCAATCAATCTTACCCTCTTGTTTACTGCAGCCCCATGTACTGAGTCCTAAGCCTGCTGCTATGGACCTGCTGAGAGATCTTCATAAGCTTGGTTTATGAAGAGGCAGACTAGCCCAAACACTACAACTCATCGGGGCAGACAGGACACACTGATTTTCTTTTCCTGGCCCTATGATGCCACACCCTGAGGCTCCTCTGGCAGTTGAAAGGCAGCTTCACTGTCCTCCTCTTTTTGTCCTAGTGGCAATTATGGTGGTGGCGGTTTCATCACTAATTTTATCCCCCAAGTCACCAGGAAGTCACATGGCTGTCTAGTTGGAAGTCCCTGGCAGTGGAGAAAATAATTTTGAATGTTTTTGTTAAGGATCTCCTTCTCCGGGATGAGCTGTCTCCTGTCACAGTCTGGCTCGGCTGGCTCATCCCGTGTGCTGGAGAGCTAGGATTTCAAACTGTAGGTTTATTAGGTCAAGATGCTCTGGTAGGAACATTCTTCAGCAGCTGAGAAGATGAATGAAAATTCAAGTATGTTTTCTTGTCAACCTGAGTGTTTACTCAGAATGACATAGAGTTTGGCTTCTTCTCTTCTGGGTGCTGGAAATCAAACTTTTTCCACTGAGAATGTCCTCTGGACCCACGTTCTCTTTGAATGGCTTGGCTGGCCCCATACCCCTCAAAACAGAAAAAAGTAAAACCCCTAATATAATCAGACACAATATGCATCTGCCATGTTTTTGCTTAAAAAAAAAAACAACTAAAAGTGCAATAAAGTCAGTTTTCTTTCCTTTGCTCAGAACAATGTGCATTGTCCTACTACCACCTGGAAAAAAGAGTTCACTTGTCAAGAAAGCTAAGAACGCCAACACACAGGGACAGTAGACTGCAGATTTCTCACAGCTTGTGTCCTACAGTGTAACTTCACAGGAGGGAGGGAAGGCGGAACCTGAACCCCATGGCCAGCTGGGATGGATGCTGCATAGGCACAGAGGAAGAGGAAACCATATTCCCAGACACATCTGGGAGATGGAGAAAGTTCTTCTCCAGCCCAGGTCTGCCACCTTCCTCCTACCTTCTTGGCCTCATCCCCAGCCTCTTGAGCTCCTTCCACAGACAGAGCCTTTTAGCTCACTAGCTTTTATGCTAGATAGGGCTGTGGGTGGAGCAAAAACCAGGAGTAAACTAAGAGGAGGGAAGAGAATAGTAGTCCTTGAGTTTTTGTGAATGACACCTTCACTGTAAACAATGGGAAGGAGAGTCAACCAGGCAGCCCCAAGGGCAAGCAGTGGAGGAACAGCAGCTCTGGGACCTGCTCAGAGCCTTGGGCAGGCAGGAATGGCCATTGACCCATTGGGCCCTGGCTGCCACACTGGTTCCTTCTGGGGGCATCTGTTTTCTTCTTTTTGGTTTAGATCTCTACCCTCCCCCAAAGAGGAGTCCCTTCCAATGAGAAATGGCAGGAGCTGCAGGTGCAATTGAGTCAGAGTCCCCAGAGCCTGAGGACTCCTGGGAGGCACTGGTCACTTGTGGCGCTGAGCAGTCTTCTTCCTTTTCCTCTTAAAGAAACAGCAGCACCTGAAGCACAAGGAACATTGCAAGTCAGTGCAGGAGGCCTGCAGGTTCCAGCAGACTTATGCCTGCTTCTGCTTCCTGAAGGGAGTAGAATTTTCCCCTTGGCACCCACCCACAGGGCCACCCACAAACTATAGTGCACACACTGGAGGCAGTGGGCAGTGTCTGCCAGGAAAGCCAAAAGAAACAGCTGCTTGATTTCAATCTGCAGCCATCCAACCTAATTATCAAAATGGTGCAGGCTAGGCAGGGCTGAAATAGGCATTTCTGGAAGGAGGATGAAGAAGGCTTCTTTCTTAGTCTAACAGCCAATCCAGAAGCCTCATCTTTGTCTGGGACCAAGGTTAGGGGTCTTCAGGGATGCATAAGTATAGTTTGCATTGTCTGCTCCTTGACACTGACGGTACAATTATTTAATGCAACTTACTGGCCAGCTGGCTGGGAGGCTAAACTAAGGCAAACAAATCCCATGGAAAGTATGATGTTTGGAACTCTGGGAGGATCTTTTGATGCTACCAGTGAAGGATGAAGGATTCTCTCTATCCTCCAACTCTGCCCCCACCCAGGTACCTGGAATAGGCAGAGAAGCCCTGATTCTAATAAGAACTGTGAGCCCACAGCTCTTACTGACACCAGTACAACTTCCCTTTTCATTTGGAGGGGACCAATGCCATGGCATAGGAGCTGACCATGACAGGATGCTCTCTGGTTGCAGAGTACTGCTTCCTGCGTGCGACTGCTGCTGCTGTGCCAGATAGGGTTTGAGAACTGGCCCTGTTTAAGGTGGAGTTGCGGCCTGTTACCTTAAGAGCCCTCCAAGTTCTGCCTTTCAGGGAACAACTACTGTTCTGGCACATCCCTAAGCCTGAGTATCCCATCCTCACTCCTGTCTTTGGAATAGAAAGTGTGACTCTTGCTCAGGCAGTCCATAAGGGGGTGATGAGGGCTATGGCAAAGCTGGTACAAAAGATATGTCCTTTCTAGGGAGCTGACACATGAGAAATGAGAATGTGAGGGGCGGAGACTGGATGAGTCAAAGATGCCAGATAATGGAGGTGAGTAAAGTTGCAGGTATAATTCAGACTTGCTAGACTCCTTAAAGAAAAGCTTTTCTGAGAATACTATCTTTGAGCTTCTTGCCTACTCCTTCCAGGTTTAATGTCAGGAATATTCTATAAGGAAATAAAGAACTAATTACTTACTTCCCCTAGGTTTCCTACTATAGCTAAGATACCCTCTCTTTAGATTCCTTAGTATGCCTACATTCATTGGACTGGTTATTAAAAACTTGAATTCTGGTTCTAGGTGGTATTTGGATTAAAAAAAAATTAGAGAAAATTTCTAAGAATGCAGAAATAAACATTTATACCAACAATGATGGGCTTTAACCATTATCTGAATGAATCAAATATGGAAATTTTGGAAATAGGAATATCTTAGGAGGGTCTTAAAGAAGATTTTCTCTGAGCACATCAATGACATTTATGAAGTCATTTGAAGACATTTATGAAGCACTATTAATGGGTGCAAATATAGTCACTAACCAAAGTGTCTTGTGTACTGGGAAACTGAATAAATTCTTCTAAATAAAAATAATCAACAGGCTGGGCATGGTGGCTCATGCCTGTAATCCTAGCACTCTGGGAGGCTGAGGCGGGCGGATTGCTCAAGGTCAGGAGTTCGAAACCAGCCTGAGCGAGACCCCGTCTCTACCAAAAAAAATAGAAAAAAATTAATTGACCAACTAAAAATATATGTACAAAAAAAAAATTAGCCGGACATGGTGGCGCATGCCAGTAGTCCCAGCTACTCAGGAGGCTGAGGCAGAAGGATCACTTGAGCCCAGGAGATTGAGGTTGCTGTGAGCTAGGCTGACGCCACGGTACTCACTCTAGCCTGGGCAACAAAAGTGAGACTGTGTCTCAAAAAAAAGAAAATCAACAGTTTTGAATGTTTAAAATAGTTGTCAATGGAAATCCTGAGGAAGAATTTTTTTAAATGGTCTTTTTCTGTACATACACTATAGAAAGAAACATTTTCCAAGGTGAATGTCCAGAAAGGAAGCAAATTAAATCTCTATTTCAACAGACTTACCTGTTTCCCTTTTAACCATGATTTTCAGAGGCACTATTAACTTTTAAGCCAATTTCTATTCTTTTTGGAGGATGCTAAGATAATTTTGGGTTTTTAAATAAAAACACTCAAAAATAAGTTTGAAACAGTGTTTAGTTCCTTTTCAAACTGTACAATGACTTCTCTTTTACCTCCTCCAAGGCAAGCCATAAGAGTTAATGTCTGTTTACAAGCATATCATAACCTGATGTGTAATGCCAAATTCCTCTGACTGGAGGAGAGTATGAGTTGTGGCTGTGAGGAGTTGGAATATTTTAAATGTAGAGCTCTAGACTGATTTTTGCTAGTTACTATAGCTAATGCTTCAGCAGTAGCAGGAATTTTTAATAATTCTGTCCCTGAGGAAGAAGGTCCCACAATCTGCTCTTCAACTCATTGGTTTCTGCGGTGACTACTAGCAACAGGACCTGTTAGACCAGGTTGGACTCTAGACCAAGTTTACTGACTGGGTCCATATAGATGTGTCACTCTCAGAAGAGAATGAAGGCAGACGATGAGCCCCTCTTGTGTCTTAGGTTCCCTTCCAATTGATTACTTGTTTGGATGACCAGAAGTTCTCAACATGGTGCAGTCAATCAATCCAAGTCTCCATAGTCACAAGCTATCCCGTGCTCTTCCCCAGGCCTCTGACACACCACCTTTTGCATACTGCTGTCTTACTATGCCCTGGGGCTCTCTCCTTCAGCTATTCTCTTGCTATGTTCCTCTCCTCTGTCACATTTGTACATTCTTCCTTTCCTCTAATACTTGGCTCAAATCCTTTAATCATCTTGTCTACAGTGACCTCCTAGCCTCTCAGCCTCACAAGGGCAATAACGTAAAATGGCTTAGAGAACTCCTCGTCCTTTCATGTATGTATGTTTATCTCTCCCGCTAGATGGTACCTAAGCTCTTTGGGGCAGGCTTTGGGACCCCCTAGAGTTCCAAGCACAGAGGTAAATGAACATATAGTAGGCCCTCAAGTATCTGTAGTCAGGATCATGTGACTGACACCTCACAGGAAAAAATAGACCACGACAATATCAGATTACACAGACATATATTTGCAAAATGAATAGGCCAAATGTGCTCTTTGATACCCTAAGACTATTAATCCTACCTCTATAGAATCCTGTTGTTATCTTCAGTATATTCCTGTCTCTAGGGAAACTCCTGTAGGCAATTTGGCTTGGACAGTTAGGGTTCAGAAACCAGTGCCCAACCCAGTCACTGAAGACAAATAGAAACAAAGTAGTCATAAAGTTCAGTAGGCTGTTATATTCATGTAGAATAGACCCTACACGTGCAGACAATGTGGGAGAGTTACAATTCCAGACTGCAACAGACCAACATGTTCAAGAACACCTGGAAGGTCACGGGCAGTGTACAGAAAGAGAGCCGAGGAGGGGGCTTTGTCATATAGCAAGAATGTTCTTTATCACACATGGACTCTTTAGTGCTTCTCCTTCCATATACCCCATGTTGTTCCTAAGAAAGCATTCCAGGAGCCTTTTCCAGGAGTGGAAAAGACAGGCTCCCATAGGTCGAAATTAGCTGAGTCAACTCTTGGTCTGCTATACTGTCTTATAAGAGTAAAGACAGTAAATGAAAAACAAACAAAACAATCCTGAAAACAACAACAAAATGTCTATTTCTCTCCCAAGAAGGAGCTCTCTTTTTCTGAGACATTCATACTCTGTAGATCGAAGAACCAGCTGAATCCAAAAAAGTCACAGATTTTTCCAAAGCAGCCAATTTCTAGGTTAGAGACCAAGTTGCAGAATGTAAAATTATCTGGTAACACTATCTTCGTGGTTGTGAGGAAATACAACTGATATCTGAACAGCTGATATAGTAACTTTGTCTTCTTACCTCAGTGTCACTCTCCCTCCAATGATATATTGTCATATTAATTTGGGAGAAAATTCACTCAGCTAAATATAAAGAGATAATTTTGGATACTGTTTTTGGTAGGAGGAGGCAATGATAAGGTGGGTTGAAAGGAAAGAAGGAATGGACTAATTCCTGGGTATAGCCTGCCCCATCCCCACCTTGTGGAGCTAGTTCCCCAGTCTGGGTGGTAATGGCACAAGGAGGCATATGGAAGCCATTCAATGTTCCTAAGGCATTTGTTTGGCTTTGCTAGTCCCAGCCTAGTCTGGTCCGCTCCCCTTGCATGTGGACTGGAGAGAGGGACTCACCACAGGTTGAGCATTTTCAGGCAGCTACAGAGTATGTAAAGAGAAAAACACAGAAAGGAAGAGAGAGAAAGAGAGAGATATTAGTCCACAGAGGTGAGATGGAAGCGACTCCCTGTGAGCCATGCAAACATGCAGTATGTGTCTGTGTTTAGTTTCTTCCTCTGTCAAGGTAGGGTGAGTAGGCCCAGGCCACTTGGTCCCCACATTGAAGTGGAGGGAGCAGGAGCCTGACAGAAGCATCAAGGTGTGAGCTGGATCTCAGGGGTAAGGCAAAACAGAAAGAGCTGATGGGAACCCCAGGGTGGGCTTTCCTGGGCAACTTCCAGGAAAGCAGCAGGGGAAAGAGCAAATTACCCTGTCTGTAAGAACTCAATCAAGCACCAAGGGCAAGCCATTTTGGTTTCCACATGAAGTCTTATTGTGTATGCTAACAGTTAAGCTAACCTTCCTAACTATTTTGAGGGAAAAAGAAGTCCCTAGCCTTTGTGTAAGTCCAACATGCCTAACCAAAGCAGCCAGCAGTTGTCTTTTCCTCTAGAAAGGGAGAAAAGGTTTAAGAGACACTTTATCTTATTAAATATAAATCAGAGGGAGGAAGGTCATAGCTCTGAATTAAGGTATTAACTAATAGAGAAGGGCCAAAATTCTAATCCTGTCAATTCTCAGGAGAAATGAGGTTCACTTTTGTTAACTGACAGCTGAAGTCTCAATAACCAAAAATTCCTGTGTTCTTTTGTACTATAACAAAAATCGATCAAAAAGCTGCTTACCCTCACCACCCTTCCAACCATACTTAAACAAGGACATGTGTCCTGTAGCTAGAGAAAACAGGAAGTCAGATACTCAATTTTGTAAATAAAACAAAAACCAAGACCCTGTAATTTCTTTCCTCCTTCACACAAAACAAGCTGGGTGAGGAACCCAAAAACAAAAGCTTGCAAGTGAAGGCTCACGTAGTCTCCCCAGTACCCGAGTTAGTCTCAGTATAGCCAACAGCCCTCTCTACCCCACAAGCAGGCTGCAGGAACAAATGGCATCACAACTGTGTGCAATGAGGGGCTGTTGGGAAAGCCTCAAGCTTCTCTAGCTGTGACTTCTTCCTGTGAAAATGATGAAGCAGGTGAACACATGGCTAACCTTTCTCTGCCCCCATACACATAGAATGCCAAGAAGAATAACACATGGCAAGGCCCTGACAGTTCCTGGGCAAGATGGACTGGTAGCTCGTGAAATCACTAGGAGACTCAGCATACAAAACACTCTAAGCCACGAGCTATTGAATGACATTTGGTCAAATACAAGTGTTCCCCTCTGGTTTCTATAGCTTTCAGAAGGTCTAAACTCAGAGCTAGAGACACAATTGTCCTTTTTGCTAAATGGGAAGACTTTAAACTCTCTTTACATTCTAGAGTTTAGATTATACCAGAACAGAATATACCAGATTGAAATTTCTTTGTGTGAATAGGTCCCTATCTTACACACAGAACACAAACACCACACTCACATACACAATTAGTGCACACATTTACCAAAATGAAATGAGATGAATGAAGCCTATATAGGGTGTATCATAAGACTAAAGTCCATTTGATCTTGATATTCAAAGTATGATACTAAATCCAGAGCTATACTTCTAGCCTTCAAAGTAATAGCCACAAAAGAGAACTGGAAGTGGGGTAGGGGTAGGAATGAGTATAGCTATCTTTCAAGCCCAGATAACATTTAGATCAGATCATGCTCAGTGCAGTGGTTCCCAACCTTGGCTACACATTAGAACTACCTGAACTTTTAAAATTCTTGATGCACAGGCCACACCTCAATAAATTAAAATCAAAATATCTGGAGTCAGACTTAGGCATTTGTATTTTCTAACATACCCCAGGGTGACTCCAAAGTTCAGCCAAGGTTGAGAGCCAAGAGGGTGAGAGTAACATACTGTTTATTTAAGAAAATGTAGTTTTGTCACAGAAACAGAAAAGCTGTGAGCACCATTAATATCTTAAAGTCCCTAAAAATAGGGAAGATGTTTCCTTACTAAAATGGTCTCTTCCTGGCATAACTAGCAACCCTACCCTACGCCCTTATGTATCACTGCCTCATATAAGCTGGGAGAAGAGCATTTGAAGCTGCCTACAGTCAGTGGTGGCTTGACAGGAGAGAGTCCAAGTCATCCCCAGCTACTTTTTATCTATTAGGTATCTATTAGGAATCTTCAAGCCCTGGCTTTTCAAAGAAAGGACCTCTTGAAGACAAAATGAATTCATCAAATAGATGCTCAGGAGAGCAGGGGAATGGGCAGGGGCACAGTCATACAAAGTGAATCTGAAGAAAGAACAACACAGGTCTTGGCTAGCTACTCAATGACTCATACCCAGAGGTGTAAGCAGGTTCTGGCTTGTATTTAGGCTATCTGGGGGCTCAGGAAACCACTTAGGGCATAATATCACTATAAAAATGCTCCCTGCTTCAGAGAACAAGAAACATGGATATCTTGAATATTCTCAAAGGGCTTATAAGAAAGGTCATTAATATCAGTGTTGGCAGCAGTTACTGACTCATGATGTCTCTCCCTACCTGGTGTCTTCTTAGAGTTTAAGTCTAGATCTGAATTTGGGATAGGTAAAAAAGGGAAAGAAGTGGTAGAAATGCTGCTTTTTGCAGTAGAATCAGCAGTTATTTCACCTTCCACCCCAGATTCTAAGAGTTTAAACACAGACCATGCACAGAGTACCAAGGGGCTGGTGGTATGGGCAGACATACACATGCAAGAGAAGCAGAAAAGGGCATGAGGGCAACCTCCTCACTCTCTTGGGATAAGTGTCACTTCCTTTCCTTCCTAATACCCTCTCATAAGTGCAGATTATTTTTCTTATCTGACTTAGTCTTTCTGAATCCAAAATCATTTGAGAGTGAACAAAATGGACCTGAAACTGTTCCAGGACTGTACACCCAGTTCTTAGCCCATAACCAGCAATCGAATGCCATTCAGCATGGTCCATGGTTTAACAGAAGATTTTTCTCTGTATTCCATAGGTAGCAAGAAACTCCATGCCCCAAGAGGTTCATGGCTACTATTTGTTGTAGCCCTGATAACATAATTCTTTTAGTTCACTATATCTTTTGCCCTGTGTGGACTAGAAAAATGTGACTATCCTCAATGAAATCACAACTAAAGAAGGGGAGCAGCAGCCTTAAGGTACCATGCAAAAACCAAAATGGTCAAAGGAAGAAAGCTGTGGACACAAGCATGAGGAATCTAGTCTGAAATGAGCAGCACACAGAGAAGAGACAGAAAAGATTTTTAAACTCATGACTTAAGAGCCCCCTTGAAAGATGAACGTACTTAGCTTCCTCCACTACCTCCACCTCGGCATGCGCTGTGATTGGTGCATTGGAGTGGGCTCCCGTGGGGTCATCGACATTCAGCTCTCCATTGGTTGAGCTAACCACCTGAAACAGAAAGACGGAGTGTGACAGGTACCATGACAATAAGACCCTCTTGCCAGCACCAGAGCGGGTCACTAAGGGAAATCTAGCCTCTAACCTAGGCACTAGCCAGGCAGTGTCTGTATTATTTGTTTTCCTGGGTTAAGGGACTAACTGTCCTAATTTAGGGAAGGTTCCCAGACCCACATCATGTAAGAACACTAAATTCAATGATGTAATCATATAATGATGACAACTTCCATAATGAATGCCTACTCTGTGTCAGGCACTCTGCTACATTGTGTGTGTGCGCACACATGTGTATCTATGTGTATGTAAATTTACTCCTCACAAAAACCCTATGAAATCAGTCTTATAAAAAGGTCTATGAAAGATGGAAACACTAAGAAATGACCTTGGTTACAAGGTATAGAGTTAGGGTCTATGGACATCCATGAGGGAAGCTTGTTCTAAACATATAGATACTTTCATATTGTGAAAATGTACAAAGTACTTTATTAAATTAAAAATAACTGCACAGCTGACTTCTAAAGGTAAGATCACTTTGTTCCCTTTAGTATGATGGGTAAATTCTATTCCTCTCAGTTTATTATGCTATAATTATATAGACTTGGTGATGATGTTTAAAAAAAAAAATTTTTTTTTTTTTAAATGCAGCTGTGTTTAGATAAAAAAAAAATTCCAAAAAGGAAACCAATGGTGGGCACCAGAAACTATAAACAATTACACTTTCCTTCAAAAATTTCTTCATGGCTTTGGCCATTGGTTTGAAGTTACTCAAATAACAAAACTGCCACCTCTCTGGTGAGAGGGAAGATGAAACACTTTCCCTTGGAAAACCAGTCTTATTTCAACGACCTTTATTTCAGGTTCATTGTCATCTCACTTCTCACTGATGGTCCCCGAAATGTAAGTGAAGGCTCTCACTCCTGCCATCTGGTTAATGTGGACCCGATCAGGCTTCTCTTGCTTGTATAGCTGCTTCTGCCACCTGGTTTCATTTCCAGCACACGATTCCCGTTTATGTGGGTGCTGGGAAGTGGGAAAAGGGACCCCGTTGCTGGACAAACCACTCTGCTGTTAAAGGCCTTGGCTGAAACATGGGAGAGAACCACAAAATAGGATAAATGGTTCGGATATAATATGCCCTTGGGTAAGTAATTTCATTTGTTTGAGACTGTTTCTTACAGGTTGATGAGAGAATTATATATGTATGAGGCAGTGTCTGGTACAATACCTGGTATATAACAATGGAGGCAGCATAGCACAGTAAAGAATGGGGCTCTAGAGTCAATCATCCCTGGGTTTGCACCTCAGCTCCACCAATTACTTGCTGTGGGCTCTTGGGCAAGATCCATAAAAACTAGCCTAGTGCCAATGATACATGGTAATGGCTCAGTAAGTGTTCATCTTACTGTTATTCTCCCTCCATTAAATGTTTATTCCTATCTGCCTCTAGCTCTGGGGTCCTCATCAGCAGTTAATCTGCAAAAATTTCCTGAATAGTCATAAAAAGGTATGTAGGAGTAAATGTTTAGTACCAATAGCCTTTGGGGTAGACATGGTGAATACTACTTACTAGTAATCTATATCTACTATTATCTCTAAACCAGAAATAATTGTTGCTCTTATTAATAACACATGCTTGTAAAAAAATTAAAACAATGCTATACATTTAGTGAAAAAAGTGCACTGAATTTGTACTTGCCCGAGGGATACCCAAATTTCTGCTAGTGATCAAATTCAGCATCTTAATGGAACAACCTGACCTTAGTTTTCTCCTGACATGATATAATAAACACTATACAATACCGTATTCTTGCCCCCCCAAATTAAAGTTTTATCTGAATCTAATCCCGATAAACAAATCCAAAATGTGGGATATTCTATAGGACAACTAGACTGGACTTTTTGAAAAAAGTCTTTCTTTAAATATTAAAAAGAAAAAAAATGGAGAGACTGTTACAGATTATAATGATTAAAAGGCCAGGTGTGGTGGCTCATGCCTGTAATACTAGCACTTTGGGAGGCTGAGGTGGGAGGATCACTTGAGGCCAGGACTCCGAGACCAGCCTGAGTAACATAAGGAGATCTCATTTCTACAAAAAATAGAAAAATTAGATGGGCATAGTGGCATGTGCCTGCAGTTTCAGCTACTGGGGAGGCTAAGGCAGGAGGATCACTTGAGACCAGGAGTTTGAGGTTGCAGTGAGATATGATGATGCCACTATACCTGAGCCCAGGGAACAGGGAGAGATCCTGCCTTAATTAAAAAAAAAGAAAGAGAGAGACAGAAACTAAGAAATTGAAAGAGATTGAAGAGGCACAACAACCAACACAATGCATGAACACTGTTTACACCCTAGACATTACAGTATTAATTTTGGAGGCAACTGGAATTGGGGGAAATGTGATATAGACCATATATTAGACATTATAGAATTAATTTTCTTAGATATGACAATGAACTTATTGGTTACATGACAAAATGTCTTTATTCATAGGAGATGCAGGATGAAATATTTTTGGATAAGGTATAATGATGTTTGCAATTTACAGAATTAAAGCAAGTATGGCAAAATCTTAAATTGTTAATCTAGGTCAAGCATATACAGGGGTTCATTGACTTTCCCTCACAACTTTTCTGTAGATTTGAAATTTTCAAAATTAAAAGTTGGGAAAGAAATAGCAGAAACAAAAAGTTGAGGAGAGAAGGTTTATCAACTGGAGAACCATAGCTCCTCGTTCTAATGCTACCTTGTTAACTTCCTCAGTATTACATTCGCTTCTTTTTTTTTTTTTTTGAGACAGAGTCTCGCTTTGTTGCCCCAGGCTAGAGTGAGTGCCTGCCGTGGCAGCAGCCTAGCTCACAGCAACCTCAATCTCCTGGGCTCAAGTGATCCTACTGCCCCAGCCATGTGCCACCATGCCCGGCTAATTTTTTGTATATATATTTTTAGTTGGCCAATTAATTTCCTTCTATTTGTAGTAGAGATGGGGTCTCGCTCTTGCTCAGGCTGGTTTCGAACTCCTGACCTCGAGCAATCCACCTGCCTCGGCCTCCCAGAGTGCTAGGATTACAGGTGTGAGCCACCACGCCCAGCCTGATGGTAAGTTTCTTAATGAACAATTCAAGAACTAGACAAGATGTTTAATTAAATGTCTTGGCTTCTAATTGACATGAATGAAGCATTAGTAAGCAACACCACTGAGAATTACCTGGTGAATTTGGGTCATGGTGCCTGCTCACACCATTTTACATGTCTCATACTTTCTAATTTCTCCTTGCTATGAATTGCCACTTGGGCCATAAGCAATATCCTTAGGTAATCTAAGGAAGAGGTTATCCCCCTTTTATAGACTAGATCTTGTCTGTATCAATGAGAATCTGGTCTCAAATGAATCAGGCACAAATGGGAGGCTTGCCACCTATGAACTGTACCTATAACATGCCCGGGACTCTTAATTGTTACAAATCTGGGCCTTTATAGCATCTGCTTAATTATTTCAGATTGGAGATACAGTCTGTCAAACCACTGAAATGCTGCCTGGATGTGCAGTAAAATAAATACCAGTGTAAGTGACAGAAGAGCTAGATCACAGGCCTACCTTTGACATCCTCTGTGAGCCCTGTTTTCTAATTCTGTAAGACAGGGCCAATAACATTCATCTTATCTATCTCATAATTACTGTGGCAGTTAAATACAATGATGTCTAGGAATATGATGAAAAAATTATAAAGTACCTCATGAATGTAATGAATTACTGACATTTTAAACAATATCACCCTTATACTTTTTTCTATTGAGTTTTTAGTATAACTTCATTATAAAAAATAAGCTTCATTACAAAAATAAGTTTTATTTACATAAATGAAATATTGACATTTATTTTGGTTTAATTACTATTAAAATTAATCCCACATTTCTCTAGCTATATTACACAAGACCCAAGTAATTAATGTCTTAAAGGACTGTTTGTAAGAAAGACTAAGGTGAAGTACTATTTTTGACCTTTAATTCTTAATAATGACAATATCCTTTTTAGGAGTCTCAAAAATTTAAGCCAATAGTCCCATTTTTCAAAACGTTACCATAAGGAAAATTCACAGCTGTAGACCAATACTTTAGCTGATATGTCATTTTTAAGTCTAATGCCCTTGCTTATCCCTGGAGATTTCTGGAAATTCCCTACACATTTTAAACAACTTTAGAATAATCTTTTTGAAAGAAAAACCTGAACTTGAACTTTGGCCTTCCACATGTAAAAGATCTATGGAAATACTGAAAAAACTGGGAACCAAGGGGGTCTGCACGTTATATAGGTTGGAACAGGGCTGGGAGTGGTGGTTCATCCCTGTAATTGTAGCATTATGGGGGACTGAGGTGGGAGGATCGCTTGAGTTCAGGAATTTGAGGTCAGCCTAGCAAGAGTGAGACCTCGTCTCTACCAAAAATAGAAAAAATTAGCCAACCAAGGTCATGCACGCCCAGTTACTTGGGACACTGAGGCAGGAGGACCACCTGAGCCCAGGAATTTGAGGTGGCAGTAAGCTGGGATGACGACACTGCACTCTAGCTGGGGCAACAGAGCAAGACTCTGCCTCAAAAAAAAGGGCTAGGGTCCAGTGCAGTGGCTCACGCCTATAATCCTAGCACTCTGGGAGGCTGAGGTGGGCAGACTGCTTGAGGTCAAGAGTTCAAAACCAGCCTGAGCAAGAGTGAGATCCCGTATCTACTATAAATAGAAAGAAATTAATAGGCCAACTAATATACATAGAAAAAATTAGCCGGGCATGGTGGTGCATGCCTGTAGTCCCAGCTACTCGAGAGGCTGAGGCAGCAGGATTGCTTGAGCCCAGGAGATTAAGGTTGCTGTGAGCTAGCCTGACGCCACGGCACTCACTGTAGCCTGGGCAACAAAGCGAGACTCTGTCTCAAAAAAAAAAAAAAAAAAAAAAAAAAGGCTAGGAACAGGAGCATCTATACAGAGCAAACTTTTCT